AATTTGAGTGCGGCTGTCATTCTGTAACATTTATAAGTTGTTCAAGAGGATTTACATCATTTGATTTGCCCGGCACAAACCCTATCAGAAGACCTTAATGTTTTGACGTTAGTAAGCCTACTTATCTTGAAAACCTGAGATACAGCATACATGATTAACTTACAATAAAATATGGTTGTGGAATGATAATTTTGTTTGAATTTTCACATAATTGATTCATGTGAGGAGCATTTTGATTCCAAATTAAATCGTTAAGGAAGTCTCAATAATTGGAATGTTTAATGCAAAAATCAGAGCATGTTTCTTCCATATGAAGGGTCTCACTGTAGTGTTTTTTGTGTGTTTTTTTTGTTTGGTTTTTTGTTTTTTTGTTGTTTTTTTTTGTTATTTTACTGCACTATGTATTAAAATCAACGTGTTCATGTCGTTATTGAATTGTAAGTTAGAAGTTCTTTTGCCACTTTCAAAGGCGCCATATGAATGCAAGCCAGTGCAACAATATCATATGAGCAAAAGTAACAAAGCGTTGTATTATACATTTTACTGAATCTTTTTTTAAATTAAAAACGCCATTGTTCCTGTGGCTTATTGCTGGGGCTTAAAAATGTCCCAAAGACTTATCTTTTTTATCTTTTTACTTGCGTTAACATTGTTTGTTTTAAAGTGCCTTCCATAAATTTATTCATTTATATTTGATCATAATATTGTGAAAATTTAAAAAAATCATTTATTTATCTTTATTTTAATCATATTTAATAGACATTTAAATACTTGATATTTTAAAATGCCTTTTTCCAAACTATCACGCTTTAAACTTTGTATATTTTTATCAATGTAATAACATTATGAAAACCTGATACAGATACCGGCAGTGCTGAATAAAAAGAATTTTAAAATTTACATTAGAATTATGTCTGCATAATACTATTATATTTTTTAAAACATTTTCCCATACATCCATGAATAGAAATACAAAAAATTAATTTTTTGTCAAATCAATTTCCTTTTCAATTTAACACCGAAATCAATGTGGTTAAGTAAAATAAGTACAAAATGTTAATTTGAAGTCCTTGTAGACAATTCCAGGTGAATAATAAATAACTGTGATCAACACAGATGTTCAAGGTGTCTGTGATCAAGGTCAAGGTCACTGTTACTAAAAATAGAAATTCAGTTTCCGCTCAATAACTTGAGTTTGCTTTGGCCTATTGACACCAAACTTGGTGTATGGATAGTTATATATCAAGAGGCAGCTTGGGATTGCATAGATATATAGATAATACCCAGGAATGTCTGTGATCAAGGTCACTGTTCTTAAAATAGAAATTCAGTTTCGCTCAATAACTCTTAGTTTGCTTTGGCCTTTTCACACCCAAACTTGGTGTATGGATTAGATTATATCAAGAGCAGCTTGGGAATGCTACCCAGGTGTACTGTGATCTAGGTCAAGGTCACTGTTACTAAAATAGAAATCAGTTTCCGCCCTCAAAATAACTTTGAGTTTGCTTTGGCCTATTGACACCAAACTGGATGTATGGATAGGTTATATCAAGCCAGGCCAGCTTCGGGATTGCTACCCAGGTGTTGTGATCAAGGCAACTGTAATTAAAAATCGAAATTCAGTTTCCGCTCAATAACTCGAGTTTGCTTTGGCCTTTTCACACCAAAGTTGGGTATGGATAGCTTATATCAAGAGGCCAGCTTGGAATGCTAACCCAGGTGTCTGTGATCTAGTTCAAGGTCACTGTTACCTAAAAAATAGAAATTCAGTTTCCACTCCAATAAAACTTGAGTTGCTTTGGCCTGATTGATACACCAACTTGGTGTATGGATAGGTTATATCAAGAGGCAGCTTGGAATTGCTTACCAAGGTGTCTGTATCAAGGTAAGGATCACTGTTACTAAAAATAGAAATTCAGTTTCCGCTCAATAACTCGAGTTTTGCTTTGGCCTATTGACTCCAAACTTTGGTGTATGGATAGCTTATATCAAGAGGCAGCTTGGGATTGCTACCCAGGTGTCTGTGATCAAGCTTAATGCATTTAGTTTTTCATGTTATAACTTGAGTTTGCTTTGACCTTTTGACACCGAAACTTGCCTGAGTGGCAGCTTTGGATTGCCACTTAGATATCTGGGCAGCAAGGTCCAAAAGGTTATTTGCTTACAATAGAATTTTCAGTATTCTACTCAATAACTTTGCCACTTTGGCCTATTGATTGCCCTGTCACATCAAAACTTGGTTCGTTGAAAAAACCTGGTTTCGTCGCATTGCGGCGCTTCTTGTCTTTGACATTTATTTTAGAACTAGCTAGTATGAATAGACAGACCTACTAAGATAAAAATAAAATGGAACACTTAATTTTTTCTATCTAATTTTTCTTATTAAAGATTTGTTTAAACCGTTGGTTTGTTTTGCTTGTAATAAAAGTAAAATAAAATCGAGCGGCGCCCGCGGCTCTTCAAATTTGTATTCTTACGTTTGGTTAAGATGGAAAGCGGGTTTCCACTCTCGTATGAAAGATTCACGTTTTGTAAAAAGTATACTGAAAAATATAAATTACCTTAGAAAAGCCCGAACGTTATTGTCGAACGCGTTACATAGCAAGATTATTTTGAGACATTAGCCTTTGGGATTACTTATGGAACTCTTTCCTGCTGCGCATAAAGTTGAATGTCCCAACAACTGTTTAACTTTCTTAAGGGGTGTATTCAATTAGTTGCTAAAGGAGCGTAGTGGACCTCCTAGAGCCAATGTCCATCGTAACATTGTTTCCAGACGATAACTATAATCAAGTATGAAATGAGGCAATCGGTTGTAAAAAGGTTCTGATATATATGATAGGTGCGACATTCATAAAAAAAAAGACCGAGGTACAAATTTGGCTTCAAAGAGCTTTTTTTACTTAGTTAATATATACGCAGTTATGCCCTCCCCCTTTCCAAACAGAATTACCGGACGAAGCGTATTTTGATATGTGTATGTTCACATAGTTTTTAATTTGGAAAAGTAACAGTGAAATATAAAACACCGCCCCAAAAAGTGTCACTTGAGCTCCGTACACATGAAAGCACTTTCATCGTAACAACACAATGACAAGAACGCAATTTCACACATATCTAACTGGTGTTTCCGTTTAGCTTTAATTTAACCATGCTTGAAATGTCATCTGGCATTCTGAGCCTTTGTATAGTGTTAATATCATTTCATAAATTTAAGAATGAAATTGTGTTCAGTTTGTATATCGTTAATTTCTTTCGTTTTCGAAAAACGAATACTTTACTTTTTGCTTTCCAATACAGCAAATTGACGGTCTTTTAAAAAATGGACGTTTTAATTAAAGAAATTAAATCAGTTGCAAATAAAAAATCATATGCAACTGAGAGCTATTTGTGCATCTTTTATTTGCATTACCTGTATGCTAATTATTTTGAATTTGAGTTTTGTAATTCACAATTTGTCTTGAAATTCAAGACACAACTTAAATTAAAATTCTTCATCAACAGAACGTTGTCAAGTCGGCGATAATTTGTCTCCCATTAACAGATCCCACTCATGACTGTGATATTCTCTTAATAAGTTTTCATCGCTTTTTAAAAAGAATGTCTCCCCTTTTAACTTTGCCCTTTCTGATGTGAAATTATAACCATATTAAATCATTATCTCAATTAACCTTTTCAAGATAAAGGATCTTTATTAAGAAGGAGATAGCTTATTGACATAATTTCGAAACTGAAATTATTTTGACCATGAGTGCTAGAATTACTTTGTGACACGGAAATGAATTATAAAAAAGTGTCCCTTATCTGCTTGGCATTTTTCAGACTGACTTCCGACTTCATTTACAGAACGGTATCCTAGTGTAGCAAGTGTTTCCAGTCTCAAGGATCGCTTCAATAATAATTCATGTTCTGATTCCTCAATAACTGTTTGTCAAAATATGCTATGCGTCATAGGTTTTGCGTTTCTAACGCTAAATTAATTTTTCATTCCATGTGTTCTTTAATACTCTGACAACGGTTATTTGTTTATTTCATTTAAAATTATTGAAACTATCATAAGTCTTAACTCTAGGACATCATCATTATTTTAAAGTAATTAAAAATTCGTTTCATTATATTACATAGAATCTTACACTATATAGAAAATCATTTTATCAGGTAAACATTTAGTCTGGAAAACACAGATTATCGTAGTATATAGCTTAAGCATATTACTGTGAAATTCTCGATTTCACTTTCTTAAAACTAAAACAGCATTGTTTCACCATGATTGTTATCGTACATTAAGTGACTTCAGGGGTCGCATTAAATATCCCTAAGCAGGGTAGTTAGGTAGGTACCATGTATTTGAAAAGAAAATATGAACGTTATCTTTTAAAAAAAGCACAACGTCTGCCGGAGCAACGCCATTTAGAAAAACAAAGCTATTCGCTTATTTGTGATAGGTGTTGCTTTACATGTTTAATTTAAATGTGAAAAAAATTGATACTATAGTTGGCTCTACAAAAATCAGCTCTGTATTAATAATAGCCTCTCATATGTTGCGGTTCGGATCGGAATGTCCGTCCAAAGGGTACCCGCCCATTTGCAAGAATTTCCTGTCTCGTCTGCACTATTTCTGAGCAATCGTTAAGGAAATTGCTTATATCCGAATCGATAAATATCACCACCCACGGTGCTCCCATATTTCCCATAGTTTGGAGATCTATTTGAAATTCTTAATATACACCGGATTTCACACAGTGATTGTGTAGATCTTTTAATGTTCCATGTTTTTCTTCGAAAAAACATTTTTGAATAATATAATAAAATACGGCACTTTAGTCATGTGTTTTTATCTTATGAATTTACTAATTATTACTTAAGAAACAATGGTTATATTATCTCTTTACTTCTGCCCAGCAACCCTCGTTAAACAAGCTGATACATCCCTCTCACGCAATCAGGTAAGCAAGCTGACAACAACATATAAATATGAGCAAATAGTCGTCCTGCCTAATAAAATTTAAACTGCTGATTAATATAGAAAACTACAAACTTCGACAATGAAAGGTGTTTTGTGTGTACAGTTTTGATTGTTCTGGTGTTGGTCGCAAGTACTTCTTCATTCTCTGTACAGGAAGGTGGTAAGTAAATATGTTGTACTATTAACCCATATATTTTCTAATATTTCTGTCATTTTCATTATTTGTGTCTACTTAATGCTTACAAGTTTTATGTTTTCAGTCAAAGTGTATCACTGCATGTATCTTCAATTCTTTATTTTTTGTTCAGTTTTTAATTGTGATATTCGTAATATAGTAGTGTGGAATTAATCAGTTAATCAGAAGCAAAACATGATTACGTTCTTCGTCTTTATATCAAATTAAAAAATTTGAATAAATTTATCATTTCATTATTGATTGTCAGAGCAAAAATCAACAATCGCACCTGTTGTTATACTTTCAAGCAAATAATTTTCCATATAAATGTATGAGTGAAATTAATAAATATCGAATTCAACAGGAAATTTGCTTTCGATATTGTCAGTAATGTATAAAGGGACCAACAAATGATTTTTTGACGTTTTGGGGTAAACTGAGCTCTTTTTTTTTGAAGAGACAAGACAAATATATTGAAAGAGTAATGGTCATGATGTATATATATTTGCAGAATCGCGTGTCAAGAACACTAGACAAATATGTTACCATCCAAACTGTGTAACCGATGGCTACGGCTGTGTCGGACAATATGGTCCATGTGCTGGTATATGCTACTGTATAGGGGTAAGGTCAAGCTTTTGTATACATTAATTGGATTGGATTGGTCTATAATGGGCACATTTTCCATAATCATTTCAAATATTGATAAAAAAAACAATAGAAATTTATCAGTTGAATATCCTTATAAAATGTTGCTGGGGGGAAAACAGCGTTGATAAGGTTCTAAGTGATTTAGTATAAACATTTATACAATGGAAAATAATTTTTTTAGAACATTTTATTATCTTGCTATATATGAATATTCGTATAATATCAGATCATATATCTCACACTTGCCAACAACATTTATATATAATTCTTTCGTGGTTTGTAGTTATGTCCGATACTTAACACTATCAAACTATTTATGTATTGTATTACAAAGCTTTCATTATTAGCCAATTCACTTTTTAAATGTATTACTGTACGAACGATTTGTCTTTTTTTTCTTTCAATTGATTTTATTACATTTATTTGGCAAGGGGAATGTTTTTATTCAATAGTACAATGTGAGAATACTTCTTTAAAATTTAATTATGTGTTTGCATTTCTTTATACCTTAAAGAACACTCTGGCAATATTAGAGATATATATATACATGTTTGTGTGTTTTTCTTTTCTTTCAGTCTGGATATGAGTACAGATGCAGTTATTGTGACATTTTCGGCTAAATAGCAGATTTCGTATATAGCCAATACATCTCTGAAAGTTTAATCATTAATTCATTATACATTGTAAATGTATTATCAAAATAAATGACATTATTTTTAAATGTGCATCATTTTTTCCAATTATTAGACGGGATAGAGCAAAGAGTATTATTTTATTATGAAGAAACCCAGTAAAGCAGTACGACTTTGTTGTTAAAAGAGGAGCACTTACGTCATAAAGAAAGATTGGACTTTAAAATTGCGATTCTGTAAAAAAAATGACTACACACGCAGAAACCATTGTATAAGCGCCATAATTTGCTTACTTAAGCAAAAGGAGTAGAATGTGAAGTTTCACATAACAAACATCAGAAAAATTAAAACAGTAAGAGCATTCTCAAATAAATCGAGATAATGTCTGGCTGTCCACTTGTCCTTGCGCTAATAGTTCTTATAGCAGTTCTCAGGCCAATATGTTTAATGTTACTCTATCATATTGAATGTTCAATCGCATATTTTCGGCCTTTTCCGCCAAACATCGGATTATATTGAACAATAGCCGGGACAAACAATTTGAACGTTCTGAATATTGTAGAATAAATAGTAAAAAAATAAGTACTTGTTGTATATGAATAAATAGTAAATAAAAAAATGATCCTGAATATTGAAGAAAAGACTACAGCATAGTTGCTTTTATAACTTTATAGTCATTACATTTAAATGATATAATGATAATGTTACTACTGTAACGTTGGGTATATGACAAACGTGTTTAAATATAGTAGCATTTAATACCGACAAATAAAGGTTCAACATATCTTAGTACCTGTGAATTACAAATGAATGTTATAATTATGCTATTTTTATTGCGGTAGATTACCACAGATATTATATAGAGGATATTAAAAGGGTCAAAACACATAAGAAGAAAGATGGTAATATCTTGAATAATAACACATAAGTTTAACTGTTCTGCAATCCAAAATACAGCATAGCGCACATATGACAAAACTCGAGGATAATTACATCATGAATTTACAAATCAAACAGGTAGCTTCCTACAAAATTATCAAAAATATTCGCACAATTATAAATGTAATTCCTTTAAGCCACAATTAGCCATATTAGATTTAGCCTCAGAAATCACTTTAAGAACATATGTTAGAATGCAAAACGTAAACAAAGTCCATACTAGACACTAAATTACTATGACTTTACTAAAGGTCAAAATGCAAATGATGGTTATACTATGTGCTCAACAAGTACCGTTTAGAAATATGTGGCAGAGCACGAAAAAGGCTTTAGAGAAAATTTTTAATAAAAATAATAGCATTTTGAGGCTTAATGAGCCATTAAAGATCCATAAGCGTTCGCCGATACCATTATATTATAAAAACGCCACCAAGCCAAAAAATCCTCAGTCAAAGTGTATATGCTATGATTAGAACTGTCTTGTACTGATTAATCGCTAGAATATTCCAAGGAAATATATAACTGAATCTACTCATTAAGAAGTTATTTTTCATAAATTCTCAAAATGAACAAGTTTCCTTAACAATGACATTTTCCCGTTCAGAGGGATGCGTAGGGGTGCCGTACTGCCATGTATTAAGTTGTTCAAAAGATAATGTCCAACAACCTGCATTTTCAAATATATATCTTTATAAAAAATATTCCTCATGTGGGATCATTTGATCGCACGTCTAGTCATTTAGACAATTTCCATCGGCGAGTTAGGAGATATTTAAGTAGTAAGCGGAGATCCTATTGTCTTAATTGTCAGCCTTAACCTAAATTGATGCATCCGATAAGAATGGAAAGTTATAGAGGACCATCACTTGGACAATATTGTTTGTAACGTAAAGGTTGTGAAAATCCTAATTTCATTTCACTTCACATGATGTAATATTTGGCGTTATGTACGGATAATTCCATACCTATCATGAGCTACATATAAGCAAAATTGAATAAAACAGAAATGACTACCATCTGTTATGTTCTCTGTATATCTGTTAAAAGTTGTAAGGTCGGGAAGTACATAGACATATATTTTTAATTGTAAAGCATAAAATGGAAGCGGTAATGTTTTGGTTTTTTTATGCAAAGCATTAAACGGAGGCCGTAATGTGTTGGTATTCTTTATGCAAAACATGAAATGGAAACCGAAATGTTCTTAAACACCAAACGGAAGCCGTACTGTTATGGTTTAAAGTCTGACAAATAAAACCTTAAACAAGAGGGCCATGATGACACTGGATCACTCACCTTAGATACTTTGCTACCGCAGGTTAAAGCCAGTAATGAGGTTTGTAATGTTTGTGACAGTCTACATAATTTTGTTGATGTCTGGTACGAGATTCTTTATGACAATTATCTAAAGTAAGCTCTTGGCAATGTAATTTATAAAGTCTTAAGCAATTCATTGTTCCACAATGTAAACTATTTAAAAAAGTGAGCGACAGGGCGGCAGGGGCTGATTTTGTATTCTTTGTAATTACCAAATGTGATTTTTTTGCCAAAATTTAGCTCAGGATATTGTACTCTAGAAGAAATTTTTTTTAGACATTTTGACAAAGGGGTGGAGATATGTAGGACAAAGTATTCAGGAAACCCTCTCTCCTTGTGGCTTTTTTGTTTGGGTTTCGTAGCCAAAGTATAGTATATGGGACGTTCTAGTTTACTGGGGGAGGAAGACCTGTTGCACTGGGGTAGATAAAAATTCTTTCTGATAGTATTTTGAACTTATGTGACCCCTTTTATATCCCGTTACAGAAATATAGTATTAGGGAAAAAAAGTAAAACAGTTTGAAAAATTTTGCGCAATTTCAAAAAATAGGAAAAACCCAGTGGTACCCTTTACCAGGTTTTGAAACTTAGTCATTTGAAGTTTTAAATTCAAATCATTTTTATTACAAAACATAAAATTCATACATTTGCAGTTTATTTAAAAAAAGTGTTAGAAACTTGTTTTCGTGCCGGATTTCTAGTACATGAAAACAAATTTGGGGTTTTCTTCATTTACATACTTTATTACCACCTCCCTTTTGTTTAATTTTAAAAACCAAATAATTTTTAATAATCAAAAAAAATAAAAACTATGACTTTTTATATATTTATTTTATTTTTTTTTTTCATTTCCACTTGTTTTGGGGAAATTTAAATTTTTTATCCAAAAGCCCGTGTCTGTGATTGCATTAGGGTTTATATACACGTGGGGACATTTTGGGCACAAATTTTCCAGCATTTGAGGTCATTATTTTTTATATTTAATTTTAGGGGGTTGTTTTTTTTCACCCCGGGATTTTGGGGGAACTATTTAGCCAAAAGCCTTGTCTGTGATTTTTGCAAATTTATATACACATGACTGCACCCTTTGGGACCCAAAAGTTTCCCAGCATTTTGTGGGGCCTTTGAGTATGAAAAAACCCCTTTTGTTTTATTTGCTTTTATTTTAACCCCGGGGTATTGTTTTAAAGTACCCTAATTGAAACACGTCAATCCCGAAAATGGTGTGGAGGATGCGATTTATACAGAGATGGGACGATGTGTTAAGGAACATCACGATATTGTCCACACAAAATGGATTTGTATGGTTTTTGACCTCTAAAGATTTGATGCGGTTCAACATACCATTGCTGCTTTTTTGCTCGGTTGACTGGACCTTTTCATGAATCGATGACATGAAATGATACTGATCAACAGATATATAAAGCATACTGCTTTGGAAAAACATTGAAAATTTTGATTACAATATATCGTCTGTTTTGATGATATACTTATCTTTCTACCAACCGTTCAGTCAACCACTTTATATCCCATTGTAAGTTTTTGTGTGTCAAGTTATGGTATGAATCTATGAACTTTCCTTGAAGTTATCCTCCATAAAAGGTTGAATTCGTCTTTTTTTATCTTGAATGTTTGTATTATAAGCCCTGCGAGGAGAAATAATCTTTGGATCTGGTCCCCGTAACTTGAATAAAAAATCTTGAATTACCCCATGTCTCTCTGATGACCTTTCTCCTTTGAAAATTGTTTGGTGCAGACCAAGAAATGATGAGAATTGTTTAAGTTTTTAAATGACGAGCACTGTTCTTTATGTTCTAGAAGATAGGAGGCATTTTTGTAAGTGCATATTTTGGTGTTGTAGGATTTATTAGTTCATCAGTCCGGGCTTCAGCTTTACTTCGAAGATGTCATTGTTTAACTATTCCATTTTTTTTCTCAAAAAAATGACCTTTCTCCGCTATTTGCACTTTCTTTGGAAGCATCACCTTTAAAGGGGATTTTAAAAAGCGACAATAGCGTAAATAAAAGTAATTGTGTTTTATTGAAAAATGAGTTATTTGTTCAAGTAAACGAATAAGTTGCACTTAAAATCTGTTTCAAGCTTGCATCTAGTGCGGCTGAAAATAAACATGGTCCGATAGAAAAATTTCCAGTACATACATAAAAAAGGGTTGTTTTCTAAAAAAGTTGCATAATGATTCTATTAAAAGGGCGGCAAATCGTCAAGCTTTTTCAAATCTATGCCAATGTAAAAAATCAAGTCTATTTCCACTTAAATGCCCAAAGTTCCCAACATTTTATTATATGGGTTCATTGAGTCCAGTTCTTTTTAGGGTTTAGGATTGAGTATACGCTTAAGCCGGTGCTAGAAGGCGTGAGGATGTTGCACTTTTTCATGATCTCTCCATGTTCAGACTCACATTAGACGAGGTCTGGCGAATTTTCATGTAATATTTTGCTGTTTTAATGCATCCGAGGTATCATTTTTTCCAGAATATCATGAACTTGAAGCATACATAGGTAGTGGGTATGTATGTACCAGGCCATACATAGTTGAATGAAGGAAGCATTTAGTACGATGTATTAATGAAATTTTCAATCAAATAAGACATATTTATTCAACCATTTATAAAAAAATGCCACAGTACTTGCACGATGCAAAACATGTCAAAGACCAGAATGAATATAGCTCAAACTGCCATGAAACTATAAAAAAAATGCTTCAATACTGATCAAACTTGGCACACATGTTGACTTGGCCATGACCTTTGTAACTGCATGTTCAATCTTATATTACCTGTTACCATGGCAACGGGGGACTTTCAAAATTGCCAAAAATC